TTGCATTGTATGTTATATTGATTCTCAAAAGGCTTTTTACTAATCATGTAAATGTTAGTATCTTGATTTTTTTTTTAATGTATATTTATAACATAAAGCTCCACTTTAGAATGTATCATTAACCCATACTTTCTAGCATAGTGCCTAGAAATGAAAATGTTTGGTTCAAATTTTGGCTCATTTCTAATTAATCATGGCTTTGGAGAAGTTCCTTAACTTTGTGATTTTCTTCATTTGTAAAATTGTCCCATGGGTTGTTTATATATAGGTATATATATAATATATTTTAAATGCTTTGAGTGGTGTTTGGCACATATCAAGAACTTAATATATTTCTTGAATGAATGGAATAATTATTCTTCTGTGGTAATAAATGTATTATTAAAATGATAAAAATAATAGGGAACGTGGTTAGTATATGTATTCCAAAGTTAGAGGTTGAACTGTGTTTATTAATGAAGATCATTAAGCTGACAGGAAATTGAAAATCCTTAAAAATCTTTTTGATTTTCTGTTGATTATTTTCTTGTATTTTAAAACTTATAAGCTACCTATAATCTCTCAAATAAGTGTATACAACAATAAATAATGTGATAAGAGCAGTTCATTTTGTCTGTAAAACAAATCACTTATAAATCAGTTTAAGATAAATTCTAAGTTGCTCAGTGACACAAAATATTGTAAAGTGAATCATTTCGGGAAAGCTGTTGAAGTGATGGATATGCAAAAAATATGTTACCCCTAAAGATAAGAATAAAGTAAGCGTAGCGGTTATGAATCGGACTGCGAACAGCAAGGTCATCAGTTTGAAATTACAAGCTTGTTCCACAGGAGAAAGATGAGGCTTTCTGCTCCGGTAAAGATTTACAACCTGGGAAGCCCTGTACAAGGTCGCTAAGAGTCGGAACCAACTCCATGGCACATAATCACCACCACCAAAGATAAGAAGTAGTAGTATTGGAGTTTTATTATTATGCTTAGTTTTTTTCCTGCAACATGGGAGTAGAAGGAATAGCTACTGTACTAAATTTATATCAATATTATTAAGCAAATTCATCTCTTAAAATAGTTCTCTACAGCTTTTTTGGCATAATCTATTATTATTTCCATCCTGTTTGTCTGAAATAAAATTTAATTCTAGATCCTTTAGCATTTTGTAAAGCCAACTGTATAATAATATTCTTTACTCTAACAACTGTTCATAGTTCTTTCGTGTTCTCAATTACTTGTCCATCCTAGTTTTTTACATAGTACAGTGTAATCTTCAGTCAAATAGTGCTGCCATCATTGAAGGGAACCCCAATCTTAGCTCTCCAAACCTCCTAAGATCATAAATTTGCTAGTTTTGTGGTACAAGGATGAGCTTCTGCTTAATTAACTAGAGAACTTCGTGGGGGAACTTTTAACTATATGTTAGCCAGTTTTCATACCAGTAATCTTATTTACAAAGATTTTCTTTTTCACAGAGCCACATGTTTTTGTTGTAGTTTTTTAATTTCTCGCTCTTTCTGTCTGTCTCTGTCTCTCTGATCTGTTCTGGTTTTAAAAAATAATAATCTCAAGTATAGAATTAAGCTGTATAGGTTTAAGCACTTGTAACCTGTGTTAGCGCTAATAATACAGTATAGCCATGATTATTTTGATAAGACATGAAATAGATTCCATTATCTTTTAATTGGGCTAAAATATAAATCTCTGCTGTGGTAGCATATGAAAAGACAGAATTATTCTGTACCTTTTTCCTTCACAGAGAACCAGTGGCATCTGACACCTGGCTGAAACTCCAGGATGGAAGTAATGCCTAGGTCATTTTATAAAAGCCCAACACGTGTAAATCGTACATAATGGCTATATGTACACTAGTAATCGGTCATTTTAGAAATTGAAATTTGCAGTTAGCTTTTCTGTGGCTGTGTAGTTACTAATGAAATAGTTCTTTAGCATATTTTAGAGTCCTTAAAAGAAAAGTGCAATTGAGTAAGTGTAATAAAATCATTGTGAACAGCTCTACATCTGATTTAGGAAGTGACTTAGTTGCAAAGAAATTACTAGCTCTTTAGAGTGTACTGAGTAACCTTGTTGGGGGGTGGTAGTGCTGTAAAAATAATGTCTTGACTAGAATTAGTCCCTTTTGTGGATTTCAACTTATCTGACTGACTTAGGGAAATCAGAAGGGTGTCTTTATTTTACATTATAGTTGTTGTTGTTATTGTCAAGTGCTGTCAAAGAAAAGGAAAGTTGTTTACAGATCTAAAATAGAAAACATTTAGAAAATTTAGTTATATCCTTCCCTCAAGAATACTTTGTTCTTTACCTGACTGAAAATGGCCTAAGCAAAAATGCAATGACTAATTTCATAAGTTATTTCAAAGGAAATAATCACAAAAATACAGTTGCTTGGCATACCTATAAATAGAGGTGGTAATTCACTTGTTTATAAATACCATGTTGTCTTTGTTGGTGCTACATCTTGTTTATTATTTATTTTTAAAATAATGGTAACAATTCATTTGAAATCCAAAAACAAGTGAAATTTTTGTCATTGTCTCACTGTTGTCTATCTCTTCCCACTTTTCTCCCTCTTCTTCCCCTGCTCTCCACCCCCTAAAGAGAAAGAAAGAAAACACATCTAAATTCAGGCCATAAATTGAAAGTGTTGGTGATGTTGAACAGAAAAAAATTTAACCGTCAATCCGGCAATTTCTTTTTCCAATCAAGAATATGGTGGTATTGAAACAGTACTTATTTTTACCTCACTCTGGTCTATACCTTTCTTCAGTTTAAGCCACAATCTTAATACATGTCACATTTACAATGTGCAAACATTTTTGGCTTCATTGCACTTTTTTTTTTTTAACTATCCCCTGGGCTTGAAGCTCACTTGCAATGTTTCGTTTTTAATCTCAACATTTAAGATAATCTCTTAAATTTAAACATTTAAGACACTTAAAATATTTCTCTGATTATTTCCTTTGAAATTAACTTAGGAAAGTAGTTGCTGAATTTTTGTTTAAACCATTTTTCAGTCAAGTAAAGAACAAAGTGTTCTCAGGGAATATAACTAAAATTTCTAAATGTTTTCTGTTTTAGATTTGTTTTCTTCAGTATTGTATTCTCATGAATTCTAAATACTCTCACCATATAATCTTCGAGACTTACCCATTTTGTATTATAGTTGGTATTTTTATATTGTATTAACTGATTTTGTATCTGTAGCTGTTTTTCCAAACACTGATACTGTTTTGTCTGTTCTTACCTGAAACAACAAATGCTTCTCAAACTTGGCACCTAGGCAGAAAAGTGTGAACACCTGGTTAACTAATTACGTTGTGGTTGTTAAGTGCTGTGGAGTTGGTTCAAACCTCATAGCGACCCCTAATAGGGTTTCAAAGGAGCAACTGGTGGGTTTGAACTGCCAGTTTTGTGGTTCACAATCCAGTGCTGATCCTACAGTGCCACACCAGCTGATAATAACTAACATTTATTGAGAACTTACTATATGCCACATGTTAGTCTATGCTAGCGCTGCAGGATCAGCATTGGACCACAAAGTCAGTTTAAACCGCAAGGTCTGCTATTAAAATCCATACACCAGCTGCTCCTTGGAAACCCTATACAAGGTCTCTATGAGTCAGAGCCTACTCAGCACTAACAACAACATAAATATTCTAAAATTTGAGAATTTGATTCTACTCCATAATGCTTTTTAATGTAAAAATGTTTAGCATCAAGTAAAATTGATAGTCTAAGATGTATCAGTTTGTCTTTTATGACTATTCTCTTGGGCATACCTCGGACTTCAGAAGAACAAATACTTCAGGTTGAGAAGCAATACCTCATTGGGTCAAATCCAAATTTATTTATTTGTTTGTATGAAATGAGGCAGTAAAAAACATAAACCCAGTTTTTTAATGATTAGATTCAATAGACATAAAATTATTTTTTGTCACAGTCTGTGTAAGTTTCTAAAACACTTTACTTGGAATGCTTACCTATTTTGGCTTAGTATGGTCTGCAGTGGACTCAGTACCACTGTTGCGGTTGTGTGGATTATACCATTCTCCTTCACACATGATGTAGTATACATTTTATTACCAATTCCTAAAATGACTCCACACGCCCCATATCCTGCCTGGTAAGTTTCTTCTGTTCTCTGATGGTGCCTGTCCATAACCAGCTGCTATTTCACACGTAGCCAACTGCTTCCTTTCTTTGCTTCCCAGCACCTAAGTCATATAGTTCTTAAGTTCTTGGTATATAGTTAATGGTATACTTATGTCTTTCCTCCTTAGAGAGCAGAGACATTATTTTAAATCTCCTTTCTATGTGCTTTTATGTCAAATACTGTACCTAGTACCTAGCAAGGATCAACAAGTGCTTGTTGAAAGAAAGGGTGAGTGAAAAGATAGGCTTTTTCTAATTATAGTTTTGGTGTAATCTAGCCTTATCATTAGAAACTACTGCTTGCCATGGGACAAATCACATAAAACCTGCCAAGGCAACAAATGACAAGCAACCTGCTCCTTGCTTTCTGTGTTATTGTTAAGTACCTTTGAGTCAGTTCTGACTCATAGCGACTCTGTGTAGGGTTTCCAAGAAGCAACTGGTGAACTTGAACTGCTGACCTTGCGGTTCTAACTAACCTTTCAGTCCAGCATATTAACCTGCAGCATCACACCAGGACTCCTTGCCTTCCATGAAATTGCATCAAATTCAGGATTGTTGCTATTAAGTGCTGTTGAGTTGGTTCCGACCCATAGCGGCTCTGTGTAGGGTTTCTGAGGAGCAAACTGTGAGCTTGAACCGTCAACCTTCTGCTGGTTCAAACGACTTTGCAGTCTGGCACATTAACCCACAACGCCACACCAGGACTCCATATAGTATTACCGTGCTAGTTAATGATTTAAATGTTTTATAGGCAGAAGTTTCTCATTTTAGTTAGTGTCTATAATTCAGTAGCTTTTACTACTGCCTAATTGTTTTATCTTTATTATTTTCAGGAATTGTTGGATAAATATTTAATAGCCAATGCAACTAATTCAGAGAGTAAGGTCTTCTATCTGAAAATGAAAGGAGATTATTTCCGGTACCTTGCTGAAGTAGCGAGTGGTGATGATCGAAAACGTAAGTATATTTGGTTTATAAGCATAATGAAAATATAAAAAAGTAAGGAGGGATGTGTAAATGGGACGTTTGTATGTAGTCTTTAGGCTCTTTGTAACTTCAAAAACCATGGACTCTACATATAAAGAAA